CCACACTTGGGTGCCCTGCGATGGGTGAGAAACAGGACAGAGAGCATGTGTGACATCAAGGGAGGCTTCCCCTGGAGAGATGATTTGGAGGTGCTGAGTCTGCATTTGAGGGTTCGGAGAAAGAGTGGGGTGAGAGTCAATGGAGGGCGAGCAATGGAGGGTCTCACTCTTCTGCCCAAATCTGCTTTCATCCCCGGAAACGACAGTGAGTGGGATCCCTTGTTTGGGAAAATAGTCCTTAACAGTTCAATCTCTTTCCTCTGCTGTGTTTTTACACAGAGAAGGTACCAAGGTTGTATTTGTGTAGTGGTAATGTGGGAAAGACCTTGAGAGATGGAGCAAAGATGCTTCCTAGGGAACCAGCAGATAAGAGAGGGCATAGCCTGCAGCTGCATAATGGGTGGAGAAAGAGGCTCAGGAGGGACCCTCCCTAGTTTCTCAGGCTGTAAAGGAGACAGCGGGAGAATTGTACTTTCAGACTTGCAAGATTCTGTCGATGTAGCTTTACAGTACAGTGGAATTAGCTCATCTGGCCGTGATTCCTAATGGTTTAGGCAAACAGAGTTCTACAGTGCCAAGGGCTGAAACACAGGGAATTCAATGCTGCCTTATAAGAAAAACAATTGTCACGTTGATCAAATTGTACCTGGCTGGGTGTGAACTACAAAATCAAGGGCTACTTGGCAGGGATATGGAAACCCATCTCTACTGATCGTGGCATGAAAGGGAACGGCAGCTCTCCCTCCATCACGTGTTGGAGATGGGAGGGCATATAAATCTAATAAATAAATAAGTCACGGTGATTCTGCCATGTAATGGTATGTGGGAAAGACCTTGGGAGACTGGGCCAAGAAATGCTGTCCAGGGAACGTTTAGATAAGAGATGGCCTAGCCCACAGTTGCATAATGGGAAGAGCAAGAGGCTCAGAAGGGACCCTCCCTAGTTTCTCAGACTGTAAAGGAGACGGGGGAGAATTGTACTTTCAGACTTGCAAGATACTGTTAATGTAGCTATACAATAAAGTAGAATTAGCTCATCTGGTCATGTTTCCTGTCTGGCGTACCTAGTAAGGTTGACAATCTGATCCCATACAAAGCCCATCCATCCATCCCAAACCTGCTATTATCACAAATCTGTGAATCACAGATTAGGCTGTTAGAAACAGCCAATACCCTGAGCAAGCAAACAAGAGTATCGACAGGAACCCCCATCGTCTACTCCCAACATGTTGGCTGACACAATGTTCTGAAAGGTAGGAAGGGAGAAGAGAACACAAAGGGCCAGAACTTGGTGGAAGCCTCTCCAACAAATGGACAGCACAGGCAAGAAGACAATTGCTAAACCAGAACTAATACTCTGGTTAAGTGCTAATGGCAGAGTGGTCAGACTGGCTTCAGACTGGAGAGGCCCACATTGAAATCTGGGCCCTGACGTTCCCTGCACCTTCTCTTCACTTACAGAGCGGCCTACCTTGCAGGGTTGTTCAAGGACAAACAAGGGGGTAGAGAGAGGCACTCTCAGCTCAGGAGCCGCCTGAAACCAGGGGTGGAAAGAGACAAGAGACATGCCACCGAACAGCTCTTAGGAAGACCCAGACTGCCACTTTACCCTCTCGTGAAGGATGCTGTAGAGAGAGCCAAAGTTCACCCTCTCAAAGACCAGGCGGGTTTTCTCCAAGTCGCTGGACAGACAGACGGCCATCAGCAGCAGCAGGTGAGGGTGGTGGAGCTGGCTGCAAAGGAGGGTGAGAGGAAGAGCGGTGAGGGGAAGGCGTTCTCCGCTGCAGGGCAGGGGGCGCCATTTCTAGAGAGGACCAAGGACCGAAGGAAAACAAATCATGGAAGCAGGGGTGTCTGCAGGAGGGGGCAAAATAGTCAAGATGGCTTCCAAGGTGGTGCAAAGCCCCGCTTCCTTGTGCATGCACAATGCACATTAAACAGGGGTGGGCTTCAGCCATGGGTGCCCTCTTGACTTTGTTGACCTGCTCCTCCCGCACAGAAGATGGCTCCGGATGACAAACTGGGCATATTTCAGGAATATTTCTCCAATCAGCGTTCATCCAACAGGCTAAACCCTGGACCCGGGCCATGGTTACGCTTGCTGGGGATGCAGCAACCCAGCAAATAAACCACAGTCTGTCTCGTGTGAAAGCCTGCTTCCTTCACATGCGGTTTTAGACTTGGCTCTTCCTGGAGGAAGGTGTTCCAGTTCCTAATGGGACTTTGAGACAAGTTTTAACATGTTCAGAGGCCAGCCTTTTTTCTGAAGGCCTGACCCTACTTCTGAAGGAGCTGCTTACGTGCTGTGCACCGATGATGAGGACGATACCCGCTCTTTCTTGTTGCTGGAGGAAAACTCAATTAACCCTACATACGTACACAAACTGCCCTCATACTGTATATGCATATCCATTATGCACTTCCCATTTGTTTTGTTTCTTGGTTTGTTCATTTAATTAAATAAATGTGAAGAAACTAAAGGAAAGAAAAAGAGAGTGAGAGAAGAAAGAGAGAGAGAGAGAGAGAAAGAAGGAAAAAAGAAAGAAGAAAGGGAGGAAGGAGGAAAAGAATGAATGAAAGAGGAAGAAAGGAGAAGAGGAAGAAAGAAAGAAGAGAAGGAAGAAAGGAAGGAGGGAGAAAGAAGAGAAAAAAGAGAAGGAAGGAAGGAGAAAGAAAGGAGAAGAGGAATAAAGAAA